AGCTAAAACACATGTCTCTGCTGATGAAAACCACTGAAAATGAGCAACAGAAAACAACTGAAATTCCAGCAGACATTCCCAGCATCCCTCAGTGAATAAAACTGCTCAGACGAGCCACATCTCCCGTTACAGGTGATGCTGGCCATGCCGTGACCTGAAGGTTTAGAATTGTACACTCCACATATCAGATTTCTAGATATTAGACTGATTGTTGTGTATAGGATCAATAATGCAGGACCAATGACCAACTACAGTAACATCTCGCTTTCTGGGCATCATGTGTGGCTAATACGTTCTGTGTTAACAAAACTCAACTGTCCAATAGTGACAGTATTTCAGGTAAAACAATAATGCAGGTGTCAACATCAGCACCAGTTTGATAAGCTTTATGAAATATTGGAAAAAAGTGAGAAAACACCATTTTTTGCATTAAAATGATGCAACATCACATAGAAATGTGTTTTAAGAGTTATTTTTTTCAGTGGATGTTGTCAAGAGCCTACATGTGTTCTGTGTATCTGGAATGCATTTTTCGACAGCCTACCCAACCCACTAAGGATTTGAGGGAAAAAAAGCACATATTTTCACGTATTTTTCGCGATATTTCCGGCAGAGCAGACCCTCCAATTATTGGTCCTTCGGGTCAAAGTTACCAGAAAAAAAAACAATAGTATATGGCGGAGCATGTCAGGTTTAACCCATTTTTGAGACTTTGGCTCCCGACTAAAACATTAAAAACACAAACATCTCCAAGGCATTGCGCTCAAAATAGAAAACAATAATCGGTAATTGTCGACCACTAAAAAAACGACCATTAAGCAAATTCCAGCTCATACGCACATCACAAACTTATATTTTAGACAAACATGACATCAAAATAGACACTGACAAGCATAAACACACACGCAACTTACATACACGCAGAGATGAAGTCACGTTTCTACTCCAATGTGAGGATTATGTAATGATCCATCTAGTGCTCATATGCCCATCATCAACATAATCATATATAATAGACACAAGGATTATGACATATAACAAAACGATAAAAAGAAAAGGCTATGTCCAAAAATAAACTCAATACAGCTAGCAGTATGTTATTACAGTGACCTTTAAAAAACATCATGTAATAACATCATCATACATGTGCTAATCACGCATTACATCCAGAAATGAGTCATTTATGTACTCAAAATCAACAACTAGAATGAAAACCTTTAAAAACAGATAATGACAGGAAACGAGCATGAGGTCATTGTATTTATGTAGGCTAACGTTAACTTACATACCTGATGTCAATTCCACCTCAAGGAAAGGAAAGCCCTGTTGTTGTATCTTCCTTCTTCCACGACGATTTCATATATTTCCTTATGAATACACGAGTAAATAAATAGGTAACGTAAATGTTTTGGTTTAAAATACTCCTGATGTCCTTCGTGTTAGCACAACGGCTAATATCTTCAGATCAACAAGACCGATTTACACTGATCTGACCACTGTCCACTCACCATCTCTATTTCAAAACAATAAATACATGCCCGATGACAATGTTAGGATTTCAAGTACAGTTTTACTATTTTAATCGCTAACGTTAAACCCTTTTCATTCGTGTTTAGTATGTGGATGCTAAAGCTGATGCTAGCACACAGAAACAGAGCTCACAAACCTATTAAAAAATAAACTTTTTTAAATTATTATTATTTTAATACTTGAAATAAGGAGCTGAGAAAAAAATAACTGGCTTATTTAGTTAAGTTTAAATGTTAAATAAATTGCCAGATATTTATAGCCATTATGATCTCATCTCGTCCGTGCAGCTCTGATGGCTAATCCTGAGAAATTAAATATTTCATCTAGCAAATAAAAAAAATAAAAAAATAAATCGATTTGCCTCTTTAATCTCTATACCCTGCTTTATCTGTCACTTACACATAATTTATATATTAATATTTAAGGGACTCTGGCCTCTCTTTTTTCTATTCTATAATAATAAACCTCATCAAATAAAGGTGCAGTATCGTCTTATAAACACTAACTAATAAATATATTCGACTATCTAGTGCGTAATTCGCACGTAAATCCTTTTACTAGCTCAAACACGCAGTGAGTGTGTGCAGCGCCTGAGAGACTGATAGCAGCACAAACTGACGGTCACACACACACACACACACACACACACTGACTCCAGCTGCAGCATACCGCCATCTACTGAAACAGAACTACCACAACCACTGGCAAGATCAAAACTTTAGTATTGCCATCGTCATTGTAAACATAAACACATACAGCCTTGCACGTTTACAGACATACACGCAAAATAAACGAATATTAAGACTAGATAAGTTGAACAATAGGGTTATCTAGAGACAAAAGTATGTGAAGTGGGGGAAGCAGGTCTCCTTAATATTTGTAAAATCAGAGTCCAATTTATATTAGGGTGGGATCACTGATCCCGCAGCACAGTCTTCCTCTGTCTGTGTTAGCATATGAGTCTGTCACTGTGCTGAGGTGTGTGTGACCCATTACATTCATTTTTACTATTATTCATTTTGCCAGGATGTTTTTATCCATTGTTTTAATTTAAACATTTTGGAGAGTCTGTAGAACTTCAAGTGTTCAGTCTTTCTAATAATTTCCTAATTTGCACTTTTTCTCTATCTGACAGCAGATTGCTTGTTGTTTGGCGGAAGAAATGAGAGTGAAAGAAGTTGTCTCAATCATAAAGTTTTGTTTTTGCACTTTTAAGGGTAATATGTGCTAAGATTTAAACAACTCATATTACTATGTCACATTAACATATATTTTGCCAGTTGACATGGTTTTGTCATAATACAGAAGGGAACAAATAGATGAGGATAAAACGGGTTTTAATATGAGCAGAGGGTAGAGACACCAGTGGGACCAAGTGACCATAGCCGAGGATGCACTGGGATGGAGTAAGGATCGCCAAGAATGCACTGGGACGGAGAGAGGATAGCCGAGGATGCACTGGGACAGAGTGAGGATAGCCGAGGATGCACTGGGATGGAGAGAAGATAGAGAGGATGCACTGGGACGGAGAGAGTATAGCCGAGGATGCACTGGGGCGGAGTGAGGATAGCCGAGAATGCACTGGGGCGGAGTGAGGATAGCCGAGGATGGCCGAGGATGCACTGGGATGGAGAGAGGATAGCCGAGGATGCACTGGGATGGAGAGAGGAAAGCCGAGGATGCACTGGGACGGAGAGAGGATAGCCGAGGATGCACCGGGACGGAGTGAGGATAGCCAAGGATGCACTGGGACGGAGTGAGGATAGCCGAGGATGCACCGGGACGGAGTGAGGATAGCCGAGGATGCACTGGGACGGAGTGAGGATAGCCGAGGATGCACCGGGACGGAGTGAGGATAGCCGAGGATGCACTGGGACAGAGAGAGGGTAGCAGAGGATGCACTGGTCGGAGTGAGGATAGCCGAGGATGCACTGGGGCGGAGAAAGGATAACCGAGGATGCACTGGGGCGGAGTGAGGATAGCCGAGGATTCACTGGGACGGAGAGAGGATAGCCGAGGATGCACTGGGACGGAGAGAGGATAGCCGAGGATGCACGGGGACGGAGTGAGGATAGCCGAGGATGCACTGGAACAGAGAGAGGGTAGCCGAGGATGCACTGGGTCGGAGTGAGGATAGCCGAGGATGCACTGGGACAGAGTGAGGATAGCCGAGGATGCACTGGGATGGAGAGAAGATAGAGAGGATGCACTGGGACGGAGAGAGTATAGCCGAGGATGCACTGGGGCGGAGTGAGGATAGCCGAGAATGCACTGGGGCGGAGTGAGGATAGCCGAGGATGGCCGAGGATGCACTGGGATGGAGAGAGGATAGCCGAGGATGCACTGGGATGGAGAGAGGAAAGCCGAGGATGCACTGGGACGGAGAGAGGATAGCCGAGGATGCACCGGGACGGAGTGAGGATAGCCAAGGATGCACTGGGACGGAGTGAGGATAGCCGAGGATGCACCGGGACGGAGTGAGGATAGCCGAGGATTCACTGGGACGGAGAGAGGATAGCCGAGGATGCACTGGGACGGAGAGAGGATAGCCGAGGATGCACGGGGACGGAGTGAGGATAGCCGAGGATGCACTGGAACAGAGAGAGGGTAGCCGAGGATGCACTGGGTCGGAGTGAGGATAGCCGAGGATGCACTGGGACAGAGTGAGGATAGCCGAGGATGCACTGGGATGGAGAGAAGATAGAGAGGATGCACTGGGACGGAGAGAGTATAGCCGAGGATGCACTGGGCGGAGTGAGGATAGCCGAGAATGCACTGGGGCGGAGTGAGGATAGCCGAGGATGGCCGAGGATGCACTGGGATGGAGAGAGGATAGCCGAGGATGCACTGGGATGGAGAGAGGAAAGCCGAGGATGCACTGGGACGGAGAGAGGATAGCCGAGGATGCACCGGGACGGAGTGAGGATAGCCAAGGATGCACTGGGACGGAGTGAGGATAGCCGAGGATGCACCGGGACGGAGTGAGGATAGCCGAGGATGCACTGGGACGGAGTGAGGATAGCCGAGGATGCACCGGGACGGAGTGAGGATAGCCGAGGATGCACTGGGACAGAGAGAGGGTAGCAGAGGATGCACTGGGTCGGAGTGAGGATAGCCGAGGATGCACTGGGGCGGAGAAAGGATAACCGAGGATGCACTGGGGCGGAGTGAGGATAGCCGAGGATTCACTGGGACGGAGAGAGGATAGCCGAGGATGCACTGGGACGGAGAGAGGATAGCCGAGGATGCACGGGGACGGAGTGAGGATAGCCGAGGATGCACTGGAACAGAGAGAGGGTAGCCGAGGATGCACTGGGTCGGAGTGAGGATAGCCGAGGATGCACTGGGGCGGAGTGAGGATAGCCAAGGATGCACTGGGACGGAGTGAGGATAGCCGAGGATAAACTGGGACGGAGAGAGGATAGCCAAGGATGCACTGGGACGGAGAGAGGATAGCCGAGGATGCACTGGGACGGAGTGAGGATAGACAAGGATTCACTGGGATGAAGAGAGGATGGCCGAGGATGCACTGGGGCGGAGTGAGGATAGCCAAGGATGCACTGGGACGGAGTGAGGATAGCCGAGGATGCACTGGGACGGAGTGAGGATAGCAGAGGATGCACTGGGGCGGAGTGAGGATAGCTGAGGATAAACTGGGACGGAGAGAGGATAGCCGAGGATACACTGGGATGGATGCACTGGGACGGAGAGAGGATAACCAAGGATGCACTAGGATGGAGTGAGGATAGCCGAGGATGCACTGGGACGGAGAGAGGATAACCAAAGATGCACTGGGATGCACTGGAAACGGAGAGAGAATAGCCAAGGATACACTGGGACAGAGAGAGGATAGCCGAGAATGCACTGGGGCGGAGTGAGGATAGTCAAGGATGCACTGGGACGGAGAGAGGATAGCTGAGGATGCACTGTGATGGAGAGAGGATAGCCGAGGATGCACTGTGATGGAGTGAGGATAGCCGAGGATGCACTGGGACGGAGTGAGGATAGCAGAGGATGCACTGGGATGGAGAGAGGATAGCCAAGGATGCACTGGGACGGAGAGAGGATAGCTGAGGATGCACTGGGATGGAGAGAGGATAGCCAAGGATGCACTGGGACGGAGTGAGGATAGCCAAGGATGCACTGGGATGGAGTGAGCCGGTGGTGGATTGGCGCAGGGAGTTCTGGGCTCTTATCCGGGTTGCAGGTCCAGCTGTCCTGGTGCTGGAGGCAGTGTGACCTCCTGGATCCTTTGCTCAGTCTGGCCGTTGGTCTGTGTGTGGTGCCCTGAGGATAAACTAATGTAGACTCTGAGTAGTTTGAAGAATACTTGCCACACCCGGGAAATGAACTGGGACTTCTGTCTGACACAATATCTCCAGGAATCATATCTTCTGAGAAGATACTGAACTGAGAACTTGACACAATTATATGAGAACTGAACTGAGCTGGATAATGACATCACGGTTTTCTCCAGAGTGGCTATATATAAATAAATGAACTAAATTAATAACTTTTTTAGAACAAAATAAAAAACATCACTGAATTTACTTAAAGGGAGAGTTCACTTTGAAATTAATTTTTGGTATGTTTTAATTTACCTCAAGGGCATCCAATAAGAAGGTGTCTTTGTTACCGCAGTATTTTAAATTTTGATATTTTTAGGTCAAACCGTTCTTGTCTGTCAGTCATATAATGGAGGTCGATGGTCACCACCTCAAAGCGCATGCACAGAGAAGTCCAGATGATTTAATGACTCATAAATGTAAATACACATTGATGGCCTAAGACACGAAATGAGCGGTTTGTGTGAGAAAACGAACAGTATTTATATCGTTTTTACCTCTTGTATGGTTGGGGTAATGATAACGAATATGTCATTATCTAAGTTGATTTGACAAAAGATAATCATGATTATTACCCATACCGGCATTCCTTCGTTGGCCAGAGGAGATCTGTATTTACAATCTGTATTGTAAAAAGCGCTATGTAAATAAAGGTGACTTGACCTGACTATTCAATCTTACTTTATTAACCAATTTGACCAATTTTATTAACCAGTTTTCATAAAGTGATGAAAATGTCCTGGTTTTCAAAAAACTGCCGGGAAAGATCAGCTCTGCAGCAAAACATAGATGGAGGATGCGGAAAAAAACAGGATAAAGAGGAAGACAACTAAAGATATTTGGAATTTGAGTTATTTATATATGTATTTTTCTTATACACAACAAGAGACATTATTTCTTTCATTGTTTCATTCATTATTTTTGAAAACTGTCATAATAAAACATGTTGAGTAACCTCTGAGAAGCTAATTTCAGGAAATCTGATTGTGTAATATATTTTCTATCCATACAGAGGAGGCATAGCCTACTTTAAATGTATTGAAATTAATAAGGAATCTTTGAGTAAACTTCGAGTATCATTTGAGTATCTGTTTGCCGGGCCGAGTATCCAGGTTTTCGGTAATCAAAATATGGTCATCCTACTGAAGAGAGGCGCTGAAGCGCGTCCTGGTCCTACGGTCCTGTGTTCCAGACGGGCTGGTTTGCTTCTCTGCCGTAGAAGAAGAAGAGTCCTCCTCCGCCAATCAGAGGAGCGCTCACTGGTGTT